ATACAGAGTACTTATATATATATATATATATATATATATATATATATATATATATATTCGACTATAGCCAAATTATCTCACTAAAATATCAGTATTAAATAGGTCTAGGTGTTTTAAAGCTATGTATATATATATATATATGTTAAATTTTTTACATTCAAAATTTTAAGATATCAATATATATTCCTTAGAATAATTTTACGGAAATTAATTTTAAAAAATAAAGGAATATGTGCTTTAAATAAAAATGTGAAAAAAGAGTGTCTTTATTATTATTTTTCTTTGGTAATAAATAGTATCTTTTTACGTGGCTAACACTAACTAACTTCACCGCTAAGTCTCGAGCTCCCTATAAACCCCCTTTGTTCCGTTTCCCTCCACACCAAACAAAACTACAACTACCAAAAAAAAAACTGAATAGGCGAAACGATGGAGACGACGGCGAATCTGTTGGCCTTACCGGAGGATTGCATCGCCACCGTGATTTCCTTCACCAGCCCTCTCGATGCTTGCCGGATTTCCTCCGTCTCCGCCGCACTTCGCTCCGCCGCGGAATCCGACACCGTCTGGGAGAGGTTTCTCCCGGCGGAGTTTCGCCAGTCGCCGGCTTCGTCGAAGAAGGAGCTCTTTCTCTCTCTCTCCGACATCCCTCTTCTCGTTGAGAATGGCAAAATGGTAAATTAAATGCACTCTCTTCCTCTACGATTCTGTCGCGATGTCGAGGAATTGTTTCTTTAGAGAAAAGCCGTACAGCACAGAACTGGTGACGATTTGTCTGATTCGTTAAACTCTGATTTTCGCTTCGGATCTGTTCAAGTCCATATGTTTCTGTTTCTTGAAAATTTCTGTACAAATGTCTGCGAAAACGATCTTAGATTATCGGTTTCTCTGTTTAGAGCCTTACATTGGAGAGACGAAGTGGGAAGAAGTGTTACATGTTGTCTGCAAGGGAACTGATGATCACTTGGGCTGATTCTCCTGCATACTGGAAATGGACTTCGATCCATGAATCCAGGTCTCGATCTCGACCCTTTTCCAAACCCCGAATCCCTTCTATTGCTCTTGCCAAACCCATTTCAAATTCTGATTCCGATGGCGTATATATATGATGTATGTACATGTGAACAGGTTTGCTGAGGTTGCGGAGCTTGTAAGTGTGTGTTGGCTCGAAATCCGCGGGAGGATTCACATCTCCGTGCTCTCCAAGGAAACCGTTTATACAGCTTACCTCGTCTTCAAGCAAAAACGATCGTACGGGTTCGATTACCAGCCTGTCGAGGCGAGTTTCGGACCTGCAGACAGCAAAGCTGACAAAAGAACAGTGTTCTTAGCGACGGGCAACGAGAGGAGACTCGGATACCATATCCAAACACGCCATTACGGGCTGGTATCGACGGAAAACGGGTCGGGGAATCAGACTTCTCGCGTGGATACCGATGATAAAACCCGGAATCACATAAGCGAAAGAAATGACGGGTGGCTAGAGGTCGAGCTGGGCGAGTATTTCGTCAAGGCAGGAGCCGAGGAGGAACTCGAAATGAGCATTTTGGAGATCAGTGGCGGCAATTGGAAGGGAGGATTACTGATTCAGGGTATCGAGATTAGGCCGAAAAGGGTCTGAATCGCGGTTCGGATCCCATGAATGTTTCTTTTTTTCATCGTTCGTGTTTCATCTCTATCCATCAATGTACTATATACTACGATTATATGAATGAGTTGCCGATTTCATTCCGTTAATTATTGCAGAAGTGAAATGCGGACCCGATCCGTGATCCTTTACAACCTCGTTGGAATCACATCCTTGTTCTTCGTCTATCTTGGACAGAAATCCGACCATTAAAGACCTGAAACACAATGTCACGATCCAAATGTTACACCCAATGAGATTTCGATGAATCTAACGACTTTTTTATGAAGTTGGAGAATAGGTAAGGCAACGGTTGTGATCAAAGACGCATTTCCTCGTCATACGTTTCATGGGTGCTCACGAACATTCACTTTCTAGTTCCAAGATTCGAGTAATCCTCATACTATATATATATATTATGAAATTCAATCGGGGTGACATAAATCCCGATCTTTTTTTCCTTTGTTTATCTGCCCAAAAACTCGAGAAGTTTGCGGAATTGTTTCAGTCTCGAACGCTTTTCAGGTGTTGATAGACCAGTCGAAGTCTTGGTGAACGACGTTCACGTATCCTCCGTCGCCTAGAAGATGCGTCAAAAGACCGGCTTTATTCGCGTCTATGTAACCTATTATCCACTTCAGCATTTCCTTCTCTTGTCCGAAATCCGAGCTGTACCTACATTTCCATCAGATACAAATGTGAAATCGCATTCCCGGGCATTTCGAAATGGTGGAAAACATGTCCGAAACACATACCATTTCATGATTTGCGACAGATACACAGTTCTCTTGTCCAAATCGACCTCGATTCCGCCGTTCTGGAAGAATTCCCTCGCCGCCCGTTTTAGTTCCGCTTCAATTCCTTCCGGTGCGAAAAACCTCACCGTTGGACTTGATCTAGTCCCGTCGCACAGTCCAAAATGTACAAGAGGGTTGGCCTTTGGAAGAGCGAGCTGCCCATTTTCACAGATTATAAAGATATATACACAACTCGAGCTGCCCATTATTTACCATATGAGATTATACGACGGCTAGCGAAAAAGGTTCACCTCGTGGCGCTTATTCCCATCCGTGAACGCACTTATCAATGCGATGGATGGCCTGCGGCCGCCTCTTAGTATCCCATTCCGAATGTTGCTAAGGGAATAAGAGTTTCCTCCGACGATGTACTGGAAATCCGAGAAGAAGGATCTCCTCTCGATCACCCCCTCGGGAAAGCCAATTCTGATCAATGCGTGGATGACCATTGCGTTGTACAAGTTCATGAAAAACGCCAGCTTCTCGTTCGTCGAGAGTTCATGAAGGTTCAGCCTTTGAAGATCTTGAACCAGGTTTAGGTACCTTCATCACATTCACAACCAAAAAACTCAAAAAGGTAAGAATAGTTCAACTGGTTTTAACACTGTGCAGGTTTCACATGATCTTCACTATAGGTACGAGGATCAGTAGAGTCAATTGCCAACGTAGATTTATCAGTTCAAATAAGTGCAAGTAAAAACCAAAACCGAACAAAAACCGAACTAAACTAAACCGGACATAATTAGGGTTTAGTTTGGTTCAACTAGTTTCTACCTAAATTAAACTAATTCTAAATAGAATTCGAACTAAATCGATCAAAACTAAATTCCAATCAAAGAAAACCAATTTTCGGGTACTCCCACAGCAACAAAACGAGTTCGGGTTCGACAACTTTTGGATTCGGGTTAACAGCAGCTTCGATCAAAGATAAATAATGTGTGGATATTCGGGTAGACGGTAAAATTAGGGTCTTCCGGCCTCTCTCTCCATCTAACTTGGCCATCGCCTCGCTTTGTTCGAACCCCAGAACCAATCGGTTTCGGGTGCGGGTTCGAATAACCTAAAATTATCGGATACCCAACTAGGCAATTATGTTATAGAAAAACTAAAATCGTACCTGCGGAATTCTTCGCTTCTGCTGATTGCTACATAATCGACAAGAGAATGATCTTCTGATGCATAGGACTCCAAGATTGCAGACATGATCTTGTAGAGCTTGTTCGAAACTGTCGCTGCACTCTTCGGTTCACTGTCGTTCGTACAACCTCTGTAGTTGTAGCATTTGGGGATATATGGTTCATGCTCAAGAAACCTATAGATATGGTTTTTCCCATCTTCGAAATCGTTGCCCCTGAATTTCCCATTTCGAAAATTTCGATCAAAGATCTGTTTTTTTTCGTGAAATTCCGAAATTTAAACTAATTAGAGAAGGCGTTTTACCCAAACACGTGATGAATGAAGTGCCTCTTCGCCAGCTTCTTTCCGATTTCTACGGCCTGCGTTTACTCGCAAGAAACGCATTTAATAGGAATTATTAGCCAAAGAAAAATTAAGTTGAACCAAATATATTCTATTTTTAATTACAGATTATTTTTTCTAAGTTCGAATTTTAAACTAATCCGAATAATATAATTATGGAAGTAAAAATTTGAAATTAAAAAATACAATCTTTAAATGTTTTTAAAAAGTTTACGGTACTCAATTCTATAACGTTAAGAAAATTATCTATCAAATAAGAAACGGACCAAAAAAAATCCAAGCACCCGTAAAATAAGACGAGACAATGCCAGTGTCCTAATCATTTTCATCGTCGAAACTCGAAAGAGGTACAAAACTATAGATCTTTTAGTTCATAAAAAAAACAGAGAATTATTACATCTAATTATCTAACTGAATTCAAAATTGAAAAAATAATTATGGGTTATTGAATTTTAATCTTTAAGCAACAATTTGGTCGGGTTGTGGATATCATGACTTAATCGTGGACTCATCATTAACGCTCCACGAATAATAAAACAATATTCTGTTTTTAAGGAAAATTTATGCAATCTACTGGGCGGCTCGATCGAAAAAAAAAGAAACAAATTATTATAATAACAAAACTATCCTAATTAAGATTGTGATAATACTCTAGGTTTTCGAGGAAAAAGTGGATTTTTGGACCATAAAAATGTTTTGTTTACGTTGAAAATTCTTTAAGATATATTAATCATATAAATATATAAGTGAAATAAATCCATGGACTTGAAAAAATATATAAAAAGCTATAATTTAATGGAAACTTAAAACTCCACTCCTTTTTCTTTCTAAATGAAATGCACTTTTATAAGAATCATTTCAAATCAATTATTTTTAAAAAATAATATCTAAGTTTAATGTTTTTATTCTGATTCGATTCTTATTTAATTTTTATTCAAAAATATAATTTCAAAAAAAAAATCAATCTATATAAGATAATATTATCTATTCGATTTTATACACCTAACACAAAAAGAAAATACTCAATTTTGAAAACAAACTTAATGCCCAAACACGGTAGTCTTAATGTTGATTACAAATTCAAAAACGTAGCAAAAGGAAGGTAGGTGGGGTACGTGGTAGGGAGTGTACAGAAGATAAAATAGTCGCGAAACAGAGAATTACAAATTCAAAAACGTACCTTCTTCCTCCCGCAGTCGAAATGATCAACGAGTATCTCCACCACCTCGCCGCCGGAGAAACAGTTCTTCACGATCTTCATCTTCATCAAGCGATCCTTAATCGGCAATTTCTGCCTCAAAACCCTGACAAATCCAATCATCTCATCCATTGCCTCTTCTTCCTTGCCTTCATCGTCGAATCCGTACACCGGCGGCACCGGAAAATCACCGGAACATTTCTCCGAAAGCATAGATTTCATCCTCCGATCGAATTCTCCACTATTTCTCAGAGAGTTCAGAGCGATCAAACCGCCGAAGAGTTTATCGTTGAAGAAAATCTGAGGGACTTGTGAACTCCCTGTTCTCTGTATCAGCTCTTTCTCTCTTGCAGGAAACACGTCGATGTTTATCTCCACGAAGTTGATTCCTCTTTGCCGGAAAAAAGATCTGACAGCGGCACTGTCTCGGCAGTTAGATCTCGAGAAGAACGTGATCCGGCCATTGATTTCGTCTTCGCTTTTTAGCTTGACGAAGACCTTTAATCCTGAGATTTTGAACTCAGTCACGTCCGATTCCGCCGATGCCTTCGAATCAGCTTCTCCGCCTCCTCCGCGGCGATTCTCCTGTAAGGACAGGAGCCGTTTGGCGATTGCGTTTCCACTCTGGCGGAAGAAGTTTCTGACCTCAAAGGAGAAATTCTCCGACGAAGACCTCGACAACTGAACGAATTCCTCCGGGAAAACGCCGAATCCACGCGGTGGTTCTGGTTTCGGCAGCTCCGGGTGGGGCTGAAGAATCTGCTGGAGACTTCGTTCGTTGGAGATTTCCGTCATCGGAATTTGATTTTCTGGATCGAGAATTGTACGAGAAAAATCTGAGTCTGGAACACAAGAGCAATTATTCGCAGAGACGGGGTCTCCGTGATCACCGCTTGAATTTAAATTTGAATCTGTAGCGGAGATATCAGAAGAGCGGCTTATTTGGATAGCGAATCTTTCCTCATCCTTACCATTCGTAACTTTCTCAGCTTTTCTCGCATTTTCTTGCGGCTGAGAAAATCCACTTCCCTCAGCGATGTCTCTTTCAACGTCAGAGAAACCCATTTCCGGGGTTTTCAGGGAATGGAAGGATCAAGAAAAAATATGTCTTCGGGGAAAAAAGATAATCTTTGAGATTTCTCTCAATTTGTGGGGTTTACGCGTAATGGAAAAAATATGAGTTCCATAATTATCTCTAATAAATATGATTTTATTAAAAAAAATTATGGACTTACTATATTCATATTTTCAATTTCAAGCACCATGCATTGAATCGTTCTCCTCTGACTACCAATTAAATAATTTTTTTTAAAAAATCTTTGATGTATCCATGTACATGCATAACATATTCTACCATATATGGATTCATTAAATATATTACCATAATAAATTGGTAAAACAACTTTCCATTCTCATAATTTTGCTATAAACAAATGTTAGGAATTTTCAAAATTTTCGGTTTCCATTTCGATTTGATTATTATTTTTTTTTTACAAAATTTATATATGTTCAATTTTTATATTAAATTCAAAATGTTCTCTAACAATTTTTATTTTTTTCAGTGATTTTCAGTTAAATAATAATTTGGTTCTTCAAAAATTATTTAGTTATAACTGATAATAATATATTTTTAATAAAATAAAATTAGCTTTAAGTATGATTAAATCATACTAGATTTCATTAGCTTCAATTTCGTAAATTAATTTCCAGCCCTATCCTCTGACGATGAGCATGTCGTTGGAAAGGAGAATAAGGTATATATCACATATATGCACATATATACATATATATATATATACGTATGAATATGTGTATATATCAAATACCGGGAACGTCTAAATTATTTCTCATAGACTATAATAAAACATGCATCAAAACAAATGTAAGACTACGATTGTTTGAATGGGTCTGGTCTGGTGAGTTTCAACTCGTGGCCCACGATAGTGGGCCCTACTTTTCCGATATATATATTTTTTTTGGGTATTTGCCAAGTGGTTCAAAGTAGATTACGGATGAAAATTGGAAAGAATATTCAAAATATATGACGAATCATCACTTAATACAATAAAATTACAAGAATTATTGATCATTTTATCAGTAGAATAATTTTAATCTATGTCCAATAAAAATGTTCGATGATTTGTAATGTAAATTACGCACATATAATTACTTAGTAGCATATGTATAATTAAATTTGTTTTCTCTAGAATGCACATCTTTAGTTTTTTAAAGATGAATAATATAGTTCTTACAGTTTTTTAAGCTAAAATTATATTTTTGGTATTTTCTATTTAAACTTGTATGCAAAATGAATAAGATAGTAAATTTAAAAAGATTTATTGTGGAAAACATGTTGCGCTAATGAATCTCTTCAGGTAAGCGTTTAAAAAACAGATCATTTAGGAGTTAAAGAGGAAAATAAATAAATAGATAGATATTTTGGATTATATTTAAAATAAAATAATATTTGGTGATTTTCTATTTAAATTCGTTTTAAAAAAGAATACCATAATTATTTATTTAAAAAATAATTATTACGGAGAATATGGTGCGGTAAAAAATCTTCTTCGATAAGAGTTGAAGAAGAACAAACAAATAAATAAATTATATATTTATTTTATTGTTATTTAAGTGGTTGACAAAAGAAGGAAGAAGAAAAAGGACTTTGTGTGAGAATTGACCGTGTGTGTTAATGGCGCAAATGACGTCGTTGTGGGACCCGCCAATGACAGAAACTAATGCCCTTTGGATGATAATTAGGTATTAATCCTACTTGAACTGAGTCAATTAACCCTTTGATGAGGAAACCTTTTTGCCTCCACTAATACGTTTTAGCATCCGGTTTAAATCAGCCAAGAGCTAAACCGATCGAATTTGTTTCGGTTTGCATCAGATTAATTTCACACATTCTAAATCAACTGACCGAAACATTTCACAATTTGTTATTATTTTTTAATCGGATTTCAGGAAAAAATAATCTCTCAATGATTCTCAATAATATAAACTAAAACAAATCAGTTAATGAAACATGCCTATTTATTATTTTGAGAAATGGAACAAGATGAAATACTATAAACGTGGCATTAACTACTATTCAAACCCAAACACATTTCCGTGGCCATATCACAATGTTTTGGTGCGTTCGGACAGCAACAAAGTCAAAGACATGAAATACAGATATCTATGTTCGTATATACACACACACACACATATATATATGTGTATATATACATACATATATATGTATATATGTATATGTTCATCGATACAAACAGCCTCTGTAGGTGGGACTCCAGTAGTCAGCTCCAGTGCTCTCACGATACGAACGAGGAGTGAAGGAAACGGGAACAAGACAAAGCCCTTTACTCCTCAGGTCTAAATACTTGGCATCTCCTTTGCTGTTGTCTTCTCTTTCCCATCCCCCCCATGGATCCTAATTAATATAATTAAATAATTTATATATATCTCAATACGAAATTAAAGATTTCATGTGTAACTGATACTTTAATTAATGAAATGAAGATAGAAATATAAATATGGCTACCTTAAGCGAATTCTTCATGTAAGGAGTGCTTAAAAGCTGCACGATGAAGAAACACGTACGTGAACCCAAAATTTTAATAATTAGGAATGGCAACTAAATGGAAATATTTGACGAAATATATATAGTTGTATTGTATATAAAGGATGCTATGTGTTTTAGGACGCAAGTTTGGTAAATTGAACCACGAAAATGTTAAATTTTCTATCGATTTTCATGGAAAGTGAGTGTGTATGTATATATATTTTGTGTATAATAATGTTTGAAAAAAATTATTACCTTGACTTGCTCTTGCAAGAACTTTATGTAAGTGATGGCTTCCTGAAGCACGGAAGCAGTGTCCGTCTAAAATATTGCAATTTTTTTTTTTATATAAAATCAGAAAGATATCAGAAAATGGAATGAAGAATCAATTAATAAAATAGAAAAATAAAAACAGGATTTGCTCTCAACCTTTCCAAACGGCGATACAATTTGCTGTAGACTGGTGATCTTGTCTCGCACCTTGGCTTTCGGCACTTCCTGCAAATATCCAAAATTTTTATGATATTATACGTCGACATAGCATTCTTGCAATATATATATATATACACGTATATATATGTGTGGATGTATGTATTGAGGCGTATATATATGTCAATACTTGTTTGTTTCACGGATAAAGGCAATTTATGTGAATACTATATATTACTTAGATTAGGAAGTATTTTTTGTAAGATATGCATATATTTTATGTTCTATCAATGGAAAACAAACGGTAGTAAAGAACGAATCTTTGCGGTATGTGTGTGTATGCATCTATATGTGGGTTTGGTTAAGAGTGTGTGTGTGTGTGTGTGTGTATATATACGCTCTATGTATATATATATGTATGTAAACGCACGTTTACCTTCGCCGGCGAGGTAGCGGAGCTTCCGTTCTTGGCCTTTTTGGAGACTTCATCGGACACTTCCATGCATCTTTTATTCTTTCCTTCAATTGTCATGCCCGACGTCCCACTTGTCTACACAATATTGATACAAAAAACAAAATTATTCGAATTTCGTTTGGTTTATTTAGCGTCGGTCCAAAAACATATATGCTACTACATGCTCCTACAAGAAACTTATGTATTATGGCATTTCAACAAGAATATAGTTTAAATCCAAAGTATTCAAAAAACGTACCATGGACGTTGTTTGCAGCTCTTTCTTCTTGAACTTGGATAAGCTTAAGGATTTCAAGCAAGGCTTAAACGATGGATCTATATCCGATAACGTCCTAGTCAACCTGATATCTAGAAAGCTTCTAGAACTTTCGCATGGGGAATGTGGAAACCCGTTGATGTATCCGCTCTCGCCGCCGTGACAGTTATGGTATCCAATATTGGACGGCGGTCCGAGCTGGTTGAAACAAAAATCTTCGCTTTTAATCCGCAGATCGTGTTCACTATACGATCCCATATCGTCTAAGTTTTGTTTGTAATGGTGAGCTAACGTGGAACACAAGGAGACATTGTCGCTCGTCTGAGAATCGAGGTGGTGATGGTTCATGTCGGGGTTTGGCGGCGCGATCGACCAGTTTCCGACAAGATTGGAAAACTTCGAAAGCCGATGGCTTTGGACCAGACTCTGGTCTTGATCATCAAGACCGTATCTAATCTGGTTCGAGTAATTCCAGAAGTTACCGTTGCTGTCCATTTTCTTCGGGTAGTTATCGCAGGGTGGCTCGAACGATGTCGGAGCTGATGGTTTTTTTGACGTAAAATGATCGATCATTTGTTCCCCCAAGTTTCCGTTGCTTTCATGCATATCTACGCTGTTTCCACCATGCCTGTCCATGAAATCATTATATAAGTAACCACTTCCCAAAACCAACGTATATAATACGAAATTATACGTACAAAAACGTTAAGAAATACGCAACTTTTTCATGCTTTTTTTTTCCCAAAAAATGAAGGGAGGAAAGAAAAAAATTTGTTAAAAAAGAAAAATAGGAAAAGCCTGACAATGGAGTCTGATTATGAAGCCTACCATGCTATATATATGTGTGTGTGAATATTCTAAATTATAAATAAAGATATATAGATACACTCTTATACTAAAAATATGTTCTAATCTCCACTATTATCACACTAATCAAGCGTGAATCATTGAGGGGAAATAATTCAATAAAGCTATATATCGATTCCTTTTCGTGAACCAACTTTAGACCTCTCTTTTGTTTCTAATGATATTTTTTTTAAAATTTCATTTCCAGGTTCAAAAGCATCAACTTTCTGAACCCACAAAAAAAAAAGGGACCAACAACGATAACAATGGATCGAAGATGATACCATCATCTACATATTCATAAAACGTATACATGTTTTTATATGCTTACAACAAGGCATGGCTCCAGAGATGGTTGTGAGAGGAAACGTGTTCCCTAAGCAACTCGTCCGAGGATGCTGACTGATCGGCCGAGACGAGACAGCGGTGGGACGATTCCGCCGTCAGCCCCGAGTGGTTCGACGCGTTGGTGATCGAGAGATCGTCTTCGCACGACGAGTTAAGGTTGTTACCACTGTTCTTACGGTTGTTGTACAACGACGAGAACGAGTTTGCATGGTGATTCTGTACGTCCCACCACGACGAACCCTGCGCTCCGGCCGCCGCCGCCGAGTTCACCGTACATTCTTCCCTCATATTATTATTGGTTTTTACTTGTCTAATTGGTTAGAGGATGAGGAGAAATGGAGGGGGAGGATAATATAAGGAATACGGTGTAATGGTGAGGGCTTTTATTGGGTGGTAGTTGAAGAAGAAATTGTAGGGTTTCGGGCAATTGTGAGAGGCAGACAATAAAAAATGCAAGTCGGGTCTCTCCACTACGTTTCGTGGGCAATTATTTTATGCGAGACCAAGAACAATGATGTGTTAGCTTTACGATTTGCCTTTGGCTTAATTATATGTTAATTTATATGCCTTATATATATATATATACATATATAATATATGTGTGGATATAATGAGTTGCTTTGTTTACGGATTTGTATTGGACTAGGGGTGTCAAAATAGCCCGAGGCCCGATACCCGGCCCGAACCCGCCCGTAAAATTTGCGGGCTTGGGCTTTACAAATCAAGGCCCGTTCGTTTTTCGGGCCGGGCCGGCCCGGCCCGGAAAATTACGGGCCAAAAACGGGTTCGGGTCGGGTCGGCCCGGCCCGACCCGTAGGCCCGATTAAAAAAATAAATTATATGTATAAATATATATGTATATAGGTAAATATAGATATACATATATATATTTCACACATATTTGATCATATATATACATTTATTCAATCTTTTATATATATATATATATATATTTTATAATGTATATACATATATAAAAAATATACAAATATTATATAATAATAGAAAGTTCTAAAAACTAAAAACTTGTTTAATACTAAATAATTCAGGATATAATATTTTCATAAATGATATAATCAAAATTATAATACTATTAGTTTCAAATACTTATTCCAAATGAAAAATATAATAAATTATCATTTTTAAAAATTTATTACCATATAAAATTAAAAAATTTTAAATTTAAATTTATATTAGATCAAAATATATGGACAATCAGTTTCGGGGTTTCGTTTTTTCCTGCCTCCTTCCGCGTGATGATTATTAAAATAATGTTTTTTAATCTTGAATTGTTTTTTTTTTATAATCTGAAATTTCATTTTGATCCGACTACATATCTCTCGTAGAATGAGAGTCCATGTGAATGTTCCTCTCTAAATGAAGATTCAAACCCGGATTAAAAAGGAACTTTGCTTCTTTTTTTTACCGATTAACCACCAATTTTAGGTAATCTTGAATTGGTTGCCCTTTATCCTCGAAAATCAAGATTGTGTTAAAATCTTCTTATCCTCTTCATCGGTGAATTTGTCGGGAATAACTTAGGTTTTTGTATGGTTTGCAAAATATTACACGAATGTGAAATTACGTACGCAACCGAAATATAATGAATGTGGATTATTTTTTTTGTGGTGGATAAAGGTGTATTATGCATTACAAGATTACAAGAGGTAAAACTAGTCAGTAATTAATTAACAATTACTCTTCGATATACGGATTGGATATACGAATGTTTAAGGTATCCAAATCAATATTCATGGATCTCGGATATTTGGTTTTTAATATCCGTTTTCGATTTTATTGGCTTTTCCAACCGGAATCCCCATAACTAAAATTTTAAAACTTGGACCGTTTCATTAAAGAGCACAATTAAATACTAATACAAACCCAAATTCATCCAAATGCAAAATCTAAAATCAACTACAGAGTCAAATTTATCCAGATACAACCCCTAACCTAAATTCAACATATATCAATCCAAATTCAAACATAAAATCCATCCAATAACATATATATCGTATTTATAAGAATATTTTATCTATGTACCTTATCCGCGGGGTAATCATAGGTAGAGCACAAATACCAGTATCTGAATCCATTTTTACCAACAAAAAAAAAACAGTATCTGAATCCATCTCGAAATCCGAATAATTTGGATTTGCTGACCATTCACGACAACCTTAACCCTCGTCCTCGACAATCCTAACAGTATGCGCTCTAGCCGAGAAACCCTTTTGTAGTTATATATATATAATGGATCTCGGACTGTCTCGCGGCATACTCAGCTAGGTTCTGGGACGGGGCAAACGTTCAGTTAGCCGAGAAATCTTGAAACGAGACGAGGGACTTGCTGAGACATGGACGTGGTCAAGATTCGAGGGTCAAAAGCATCTGGGTCACTCCGAGTTTCATTCATGACATTTTTGTTACTAAGTTTTGGGACATGAGATTGTATATACCAAATAATTTTGGGAAAATAAACTACTTGTCCCTCTAACAGTGAAATCCTTATTAGATGAAATTTCTAACTCTATCTTGTTTACACAATTTTTAATATGTTTTTTCGGTTGAAAAAAAAAACTTAAAGATTGCTTCAAAATAACCTTGTTATTGATACGTGGGCCAAATTAATGATCTTCCCCTGAATTTTGGAAAAACAAAAACGTTGGCATTTTGACAAAAGTTCCTCCATCAAAAGAAGGGTATGATTATAATTAAATTTTGCATTATATTTTTATTTTCGAAGTTTGGAAAACAAAAAGTCAATTCGCCAAGTGAGCTTACTTTTGGGTCATTTGTGTCAAATTTTAGAAATCATATGAAATTATATTAATTTCTTATTATTCATTTTGCAATAATTAAGCCGATCGTGTTGTGAATAATAAGCGATAAGCAATATTTAATTTAATTTTTTTTTATGTAGATATCATGGGAACCTTGGGAATTTAAGGATCAATACTTCTGATTTCTCTCTCGCTCTTGAAAAACAGTCGCATTTATTCGAATAATAAATATAAATTTAACATGAACATATACGTTGGGTACTAAGGTTACACGTTGTTGTTTCGTTTTACAATATGTAAAATCGAAAGAGACAATGGATAGAAGGATCGTGCAACAGCACACGACCTTTGGTGGTTCATAAAACTATTAACAATTATTCAAAATTAGAACAATAATTAAAAGGGTAATCTCTAAAAAGAAGAACAATGATAATACTATTATATGGAAATAAAGTTTTTTTTGGTAAAATATATGGAAATAAAGTTGGTGACTACTTGTTTGCTTATAACAAAAAAAAAAAAACCCTCACTAAATCCAAACAAAAAAACAAAAAACAATTTCATGTTGGCACCACTTTTGATTATAGGAAAGGGAAAATTAATTTAATTAAACAATAATCACGCTTGATTAATTAAGTAGTATTTGTTTTCTTGGTGCAGAATTCCCCGGCATCCACACTTTTAATCCGACTCCAATTCCACTTGAAAAGTTTCTTGTCTTTTTGTCAATTTAATTTTCCCCCCATCTTTTAATAAAATAAGTGAGTGGGCATTTTCTGAAGTTGACTTTTTTTTCATTATTATATCGCTATTTTAAAATTTTATAAAATGTCTCTGCCTGGTTAGTCAATAACCAATTGATAGTTCAAAAGCCGGTTAGGTCATTTTGCCTGTCGGAGTCAGATATGGCCTAAATATTCAAATCACTTTGTCGATGCACAAATTTAACCGCCAGGATATCTGGTTGGAGAAAATTCCGAATTTTAAAAAAGAGAAAAACCCAAAAAATACACTTCTTCGTGAAAAAAAAATATATACCAAATCTTAAAATGATTAGAATAATACAGCAATTCATGGCATGTCACGTCAATGTTGTTTTACCAAACAATCTTGCGACAGAAAATGTTTAGAATTGAACCGGTTTCACCGGTTCACATCCGGTATATTAGCCGATGAAAACCCCAATTTAACCTCAACATTAAAACCGATTTAGGGTATTTTCATTTCTCTCCCCAAATCGATTTAGGGCATCTTGGGTCGACGATACGAACTCCCTGTGCCACCGACAGCTTCATGGCTTAGTCGAGAACACCAGATTCCCACGAACGTCACCTCAGCCCCAGGCACTCCTCCTTGGCTTCTTGGTGTAGTGATTTGCAACAACAAGAAGAAATGATCAAACCTCCACTAGAGAATCCGTCAACATAGTTAAGAAAGCAGTTGAAAATGACAAGAAATCATGGCATGAAACAGTCCCAAGTTCGGTGCAAGGAATTTTAAAGACAAGGTGTTTGTTGTTCCATGTTATGTTGTGTATTAGTACAAAAAGACAGTTTTGACCCCGAGTTTGAGGCCTATATAAGCAGAGATACACCGCAAGAATCTGCAACGACATGAAGAACTGAAGAGGGGGGAGTATGCATTTTCAAGTCAAGGGGTCTCGGGTTTGTACAAGAACAGATTCGGGATTCGGTTAATACGAAAGACTTGGGTTCTTGTGGAGAGATGAAGAGAATGTTTTGTATTCAATCTCGGTTCTTGAACTCTCTGGTTCAGATTTAGTGAACTCAAATCCCTGCACGAGACGTAGGCTTACTCGATTACGATGTTCTGTACTCGTTGTTGATCGAACAAAACATGCAGAGCGTGTGTGTTCGTTTACAGTTGTTTATGTTCCTCATCGAACCCAAATCAATCCTAACCTGAGGATTTAGATAAACCCTGAGAGGAATCAAATCAGAGACAGCATTAGATTACTTGTTCTGTGGAACTCTTGACTCTGTTTGAGATGTTTCGGATTCTGACAGGGGAAGATAACACAGGCGAGGGGAAGAGATTTAGCGCACGTGCGTTATTCTTTGTTTGTGGAATTCAGACAAGGAAAAGAGATTCCAAACAAGAGCGTCTTGTTGGATTTTGTTAAGAAGGATTTGGGCATTGGGGTTGGGATTAAGAATGTTTTGTATTGCCATAAACATACTTGAAAGTAGTTCGGGGTAAATGTCTCAGGGAGCATATATTATACAAACGGCATGAAAACATGTCCAAAGCACAAAACTTGCCGGAGTGGTGTTTCAGCAGCCGGAGAGAGCTATGGAGAGATCCAAGTTGATGTAGCGATGACGATGACACGGTGACTCGGGGGGCGGAGAGCCGCGTTTGAAAAGAGAGGTCGAAGCCGAGGAAACGGCGCTTGTCTCGCTCGTCGAATAACAATTGCTTCCATGCGTGTACGGACCTCGCAGCGACAGTGACAGCCCCTCTCCGATGGCTGCTTCCTCCTCTTCTTTCTCCGGCATCTGTTGAAAAGAAACGGGACAGAGATCTGTCGGTTTAGACGGATTCATCGTTCGTTTCTCACGGATCGATATCACGTACAAGACTCGTAATCTTGATCATATCCGAACCGAGAAAGATGCAGGATGTGAAACCCTCGAACAAGATTCAAAATCTTGATCATATTCGAACCGGGAAGGAAAAAGGCAGAATCCAATTTCACGAGATTGAAATCTACGATTCCGATTAATCAAACGAAAAAGAACTCGTGTGAATCGAAGCTATGAGGCGAAAGAAATGCAATAATATCATTTAACCCCACACGAATACCAACCGACGGATTTTAAAATAAATAAAAAAAAACTCGAAACGAGGTAATGCCTAAAAGTTCAACTCCCTACTTCGTTTAGGGTCATCAGAAGATTTCAATACCAAAGTAGTGATGATGCGTAAAAAAGGCAGAAAAAAGTGAATACACATATACACACACGTGTGTATGTATATGTGTATGTGAAGTGATGACGTAAGCAAAGGATACAGAAGGCAGGAGAATATGAAGATTCCATAAATACTATTACCTGCTTCGACAGTCTACGTAGAAGGAAAATAAAAAGGAGCTCTCAATTTATTTTTTTCTCCTCACACTCAACCTAAAGCCCTTAAAGCTGACACCAACAATTTCCCCTTCGGACATTGATCCACCCAAAGGGGAATGGAGCTTTGATTTAACTCATTTATTCAGTGAATAAAGAGGAGCATCAAGAGATTCGGGATGTAAACCCTTTCAATTACCCTAAAAAAATACAGATTTTTCTATCAGTGTAGCTAATTTATTTGGTAATTGTCCAAAAGATTCATGCCCTCTTGAGATGGATTTCAAAGATAAAAACTTTAAAAAAGGGACGATGGATTAACACTTTGAAAAGAGCATGAAATACGGCAACATGTGTGTGTATTCATTACCTTGAGGAGATTAAAAGGAGGAGGAGCATCAATATTCTCTTTTCCGTACGACTGATTCTGATTCTGATTCTGATTCTTCCTCTGGTGTTCTTCTTCTACACTCCACATTCTTTTCCTCTCTGCTCCTCTCGCTCTGACAAACATACCCAAAAACACCAAACTCAAATATGTTTACATGTACGCGATCTGAACATAAATTTCCTGGTTCTTGTGTGAACATCGTTAGATTCGGTCTGAGCCGGTTTAGCTCGGTTTACTTTGCTTGGGCACACAAATAACACAGGAGAAAACTTCCTTGACCCACAGTGAATTCCCTCTCGAACTCAGTAATCATGTGAAAATACCATATATATATATATATACGGTCCATGCATCCGTGCATGCATATTGGGGAAAAAACTATGATATTGACGTCGGACCTCTTGCGAATGGAAGAGTGGAGGCCGATGGAATACAAGGATGAATGATCAACGACACACCCATCGTACTCTTCCGTAAATTGCCTCCTCTGATCTGTTCAAATACAAATATCAGCCATAAGAAAAGGTTAAATTTGTAAACCCTTTTTCTGGGCATTGTATGAATTTCATGAAAGATTCTAATATTGGGATGACTTGCGAAAAGATTCCTTCAACATGTTCTCTCATCTTGTTTAGGCATTATATATATATATGTATTCTCTGTAGAGTCCCATTAAATGAAGATGTTCACTTTCCAAAAGCTACGTTAAGATGCGAGTTTCACGTAGACTTTGGAAAAGAACTATTTGATGAAAGTATAATAAGCAGTTCCGTTCCGCCTTAAATGACAAAAATAATGAAAATCTCGAGTTTGTGATATTTTTTTTCAAATAAAAAATTGGGAATACAATACTAAAAATACAAACTTTTGTATCTTTTTTTTTATATAAGCTTTGTCTCGGTAGTTACAACAAGATCAATGTGCAAACGCTAGCTAGGGTTACGATTCGAAGTACCTTGTCTGCAACCCAAATCACTCTTCATGCTTCTGTACATCTGAAAACACACACACAGAGAGAGAGAGAGAGAGAGAGAGAGAGAGAGATCCGTGTCAAAGAAATGAAAGGTCGAAGAAACAGTATCTGATTCATCAAAAGAAAATCAAAGAAGGTGGAAAAAAAACCTAGGTACCTGAAGATGGCTTTTGACATGAGAAATGGTGAGCCCTTTCACGTCCATCAACTGGAGAACTAGCTTGGGCGTAGCTTCTGCTCATCAAGAACATGACAAATCAAGAACACACACGAAAAAGGAAATGATCAAAGGAGGAAACCAGATCGATCGAGAGAGAGAGAGACTGTGTTGTCCGCCGAGTCGCTCGATGGCAAGAACGAAGCAGTGGTGAAGCTCGGGAGTCCATCTAAGCCGTGGAACCTTCGACCTCACGTATTGTCTCACGGCTCCGTTACTTCTTCCACAGCTCACCATTGTTTCTCTTCACCTGATGATTCTTGCTTCTTTTTTTTTTTGTTTCAGTTTCTCCGGCCAAACTTGAAGAGACTTCTAAAAAAAACCCTTTTTGTATTTTCCAAAAGAACACTTCGTTCACACCTCTCCGAATCGAAAGCTCTGGCTCGTGTTATAGAATAATTATATATGGAGATCGTGTGTGTGTATATATATATTCATAAAGGGTGATAATATATCTGATGGTTTTAGAGAGAGAGAGAGATCACGAGAGAGGAGAAGCTGAAAATTCCTTAAAGAGTACTCATAACACCTGCCTTCTGCCATTGCCCTCTCTCCATTTTCTACATAGGATTAATACTCTCTGACATTTTCTACAAAAGCAACAACATATTTTAATTAATTTTTTTAAAAAAAAAATTACAAAATTATATGAGCGAAAAGGTCAGAAAATCTCTTCACGAGGCTCTCTCTCTCTCTCTCTGTTACGTGCCAAGACAAAAAGAGATGAAGCAATGGAATCATTGCGTTGTCTACAAGAATACAATTTTAAAGACACCCCCATCTGCCTTTGGTTTTTTTTTTTTTTTTTTTTCACGACGTGAAAAATTTAGGAGGTTGACGTCGTCAATGATGACAGAGGGAAAGTCCTCCGTATAATTATTTCTATTTATTTCGTGTGTTTTTTTTTTTGGAGTTTATTGAGTTGATAATATTAAAATATAATAATTATTGACTTATTCCATTGACAGCGGACTTCACTGTTTAAAGAAGGGGACACGCTTTTGACTGTACTGCCCAAACGGGGGTTTCCTTTGTGATGACATTTCTGCCCCTCCCTTTTTTGGGAAACTGCGATTTCGTCTCTCTTACCCCCCTATATATTTTGTTCTCCACTTTTTTCATAAAATAATTTATAAATTTTTTAAAAAAATTATCTAATTAAAATTCACATGAATCATGTTAATTCGGCATCATAAAAATATTTTTTATCATGCAGATTTTAAACATCTTTTGAAATTTCTTTATTTTGATTAAACAAAAAAATAAAGATTCCCAAAATACTATTACATGTGAAAAAAGAGTGAACAAAATAAAATTTGGATATGTGAGAAATATTGTATAATTAATTATACATTTGTACATATATATATATATATATATATATATATATGATATTGCGGTCTGCGGCATAAGCGTACTATTATTATAAATACTCGGAGACAACAATCACATGTAATTCATAGAAATGATGTCTTATAATGGAAATTCAAAGCAGTTATTTCGCGTACTTTCCATGTTTATATGGACAAGCACATCAATGAGAAATTACAAAGACGGTCCAACCGAAACGTAGACTTATTTACACGAAAAACTGCATGCAAAATAATATTCAACGGCATTCAAAATTAATATATATATTAAATAAGTTCTTTAGCATACGCGACTTATTCGCATGTACTTTTCTAATGCCCGGTGTAAATAAGTAACATCTTCATTTTCCTCCGATAATTGCCGAAAATATTTCTTTTTTCAAAAACATTTACTTTTAAAAAATCATTTATATTAAATTAACATTAATAAATAATGAAAAAATAATTAGTAGATGCAGCTATTATTAATAATACCAATTGCAAATTGGGTGAAAAGCAAAGGAATTATCTGTTGTCCCCAGCGTCTAGGGATACGAGCTCCTTGTTTGTACGTACTCTCTCACGCGCATTAACTCTCTCCTTGTATATATATATATATATATATTTATTTATTTATTATTTGCTGCATTTAAATTTATAATTTAATTCCTAAAAAAATAATCTTTGTTTCCAATTGTAATTCCTAACCAAATGGATACGATGATCATCTTCGGCACATGTATTATATTTTCTTCTTTTTATAAATATATTTTAAAGGTGACGTGATATGCTAGGGTGGCTATGTTCGTCTTGAATATAGAAGTTTTAAATTACATTAAATTTCTCGATACGTGAAATTGAATTAAATTAGAAAATTGTTTAATCTAAAACCAAAGAGAAATTTATACAAATAAAAATAAAAAAGTTCAAAACATACGTGAAAGAGTTACAAAAAAACAGAAGAAGAAGAAGAAGAAAAAATTGTTTGAAAACAAAAATAAATTTGAAGTAAATTTTAAAAGGATTAAAGAAATGAAATAATGTTGCAAAAGGAAATGTCTGTAGTTGTAATTTATATATAAAAATAACAAAAAATTAAGTGAATCCATATTTTTTAATTTAAATTTGAATAGAATACCTTAACAATAAAAATAATAATATTTATACAATTTTGAATAAATTTATTTTTTAAAAAATAATGAAGTGAAATATAATATAATAAAAATAGAAAATATTCTATCTGGTTGTAAATATATGTTCTACATTGACGGATTTTATGCAAAATTGGATTATTAATTGTTAATAATATTTCGTGAAGACAACTAGATATAATGAGTCAACTCTTTCAGATTGACAAGATTTCTGATTGGTACATAACGTTACAGGTCAAGGAGCTCTTCGGGAGATTTCATTTCACGCACGCCTTTGTATTTCTTTTCCTTTTTTCTTATAAAGTTCATTTTGTTTTTATTTTTAAAATATTTAGCATTTTTTTCCCTTTTTCTAACATATAGTGTTTCTTTAATAAATTTGATGTATTTATTATACATATTTATGGAAAAAAAATACATAAATTACGCTGGTAACCGATTTTGCAGCAATGTTTGGAACATTAAAATGATAACCGAAGGCAGATCTTATAAGGGTGGTCGGTATTTATTTAAATACAATAAAACAAACTTATTAATAGTATAATTGAGTTCACCTTGTATTTTCTTCTGTTTTTTGTTTTGAAGCAGAGGACAACAGGAGGCTAAGTTGTAGGTTGCATTAAATGTGATCACAACGCCCATGAAATTTGATTAGAGAGAGAATAAATAAATTTAAATTTGCAGCACGCAAAAGTACAAGTTTCATATTTTCCCCTAAAATTTGCTTTTGAATAAAGGCTTCTGTTTCAATCAAAAGGTTTCCCTTCTTTTCCTAGGTTTTAAATAGGAATGATACTTTAGATTTTGTAAATTTCGATTTTATTTATTTCATATGAAATAATAAATTTTATAAAAAAGATGAAGAAATACATAGATTTTAAAACTCACATGACAAAATAGGAAAAATAATAAAATTCAGTGTTTGAAATTTGACAATATATACGTCATTTTTAATTTAAGACATGAATATATTAATTTGACAATTTCTTCCGAAGAATGTAACAAACAGAATGTAAAATTTGGTATGTTGGTAGTTAATTACAATCACTAATCACAAATTTATTAAATTATTTATAATAGAAGAAAGAAAACCGTTGCAAAAATAAAAAATAAAAAATAAAGGGAAGGGGGGGGGGGGAAGAAATGATTGCGGAAGACAGAGGAAAGGGGAATGATGGGAAAATGTCAGCGCCCCAATGGAATGATTATGAATTATACTCCCTCCCCTGCTCCTGCCCTTTGTCCCCTCTCCCGTCCAAATCTCCATTTATTACCCCCTCGTTTCTTTCTCTTTTAATTCTCAATTAAATTTCACGCGAATTTATATAAATATACCGCACACTTATATAAATCATACAAAATTTTATTATAACCCGAAATACATCATGGTATTCAATACGATATCAAACGACGTTAAAATTATTCAACGATTTCCATCATATAAATATGGTTTACCCGTCGTTATACGAAAAAATTAAAATATGTAGGATGGGGCGAATAAAAAAAAAACATATTTCCTGCTATTTTTCCAAATGGGACAAAAATCGGTTCTGTTGATACTATTCCAGGCCTGACTTGGGCTGGGCTTATTTTTGGGCTTCATATATAGATTAAAACTTCGGTGGTCCTTTTTATTTTATTTTTTATTAAATGATATTCATAATCTGATCTTTTTTGAAAAAGTTTTAAACTTTATATATTTTTTTTCCGAATTCCACGCACCATCATGTCTAAAAATGAAAATGAAAATAGTAACGAGTAAAAAACAATACACGTAAAAAAAATTTTAATAGATGACCAGTCAGCTATTTTAATTTGTTCCCTATTTTATAAAATATTTATTTTGGAAGATTATCAACATCTAAAGACTTTTAAACATTTTTATACTCAAATTTGGTTGTTATCTTTTACTGTTTTAAGCGTTCTAATATATATATATATATATATATATATATATATATACACGTATAGTGTTTTAATATATATACGTATAGACGGAGGAACCACGAAGCTTCCGAGTGCTCTACCGTAACGCTGACAACAAGATTCTGAGGGACGGGTTTACCAACATTTGATCAAATTGAAACGTGAATTATCTATTATTTTATTTAAAATAATAAATGATTTAATTCAGAATTCAAATAATCGAAATTTAAAAAAAATATGGAAACTATTACCGTTATCCCTTTATGAACATACTTGAAAAATAGTTTTTAGTTTATTTTTATGGATTAGTGGTTATCAAAACTGTTGATGATTGAAGTCTCTGAAGCAAGGAGAGGCTCTCGGTTCAATCCGATTGAAGAAACCCAAAAACAGATTGAATGGTTAAACCGGTGAGGAATTCGTGTGAACCAAACCTAAATGAAACGGTGCATTTAGGGGTAAAGAACCCAAATAACTACTAATTTGGTACACTTTTTTATAAAACCGAATAAATTGTTTTCGAATCAAACCGAAAAATACCAAACCGGATCTGCATTAAAAACAAACCAAAGCAAACCGATTAACATTCCAGTTTGGTACAATTATTATAAGATTGAATTAATCGTTCTCAAATCGAACAACATAAATACCAAAACGAAAATCTAAACACGAAATCTTGTATACTTTGGGTGATTGGTTATTTGTTTCTAAGTTGATATATTTCTATTTAAATCTTTTAAACAGATATATATTTTTTTTAATTTTTGTCTCAGAAATATAGAAATAAAAGTATCTATCTAAATTTATGAGTTAACTTTTTAATTTTCAGTAATTAAAAGAGACCTTAATATACAAACGTAATGATAATTCTACAATAATTCGGCATATAAGTGAACTTAGATTTGTTATACAAAATTAACCATTTAATATTATTTTTTTGCGATCTGCATATTTTATTTGTACTCGTGCATATCATGCCGTTATATGAGAAGGGAGCACTTAACTAACAATAGGCTGCGTGGACCTGATTGCAGCCCATTGCATGTATTTTAAAAAAAAATAACGAGTCCACCACGCGGAGTTTCAAGCAATGGTGTTCCGACACGTGTCACAAACTTGCTGGTGGAGACAACGTGCACTTGCCGCCTCGTTTTCTTTTTCTTTCTTTTTTTTTTTAAATTTATTTTTTGCAGTTTGGAAACTAGTTAACGTGATTGATGTATCACGTGGATGGGTTGTTTTGAAACGGGACCCACTGTTTCCTTTAATGGCGTTAGGGCTCACTCCGTTAAATCTTTTTACAATTATACGAAAATACCCTTGACATTTTTCTGTCCTGACCGGATTCATAGTTTATGAATATGATTGGCGAAAATATCTATTTTAATGCCTAAATTGATATGATTTTATTCTGTATGCATTTGGGGGTTTAATTTTAAAATTATTTAGATAATACAATTTTAACTAAAAATGTTGAACATTTTTGCATTTGGATTCATGAAATATTAAAATCATTTTGAAAATTTTATTACACCTCAAAATTTCAATAAATTGATTTTTAAATAAAAATAAATCATATTAAATTTTGAACTTGTAAAATAATATTTTTACAAATTTTAAAATAAATTTATCAAGCGAAATATATAAATTAATTTTTCACCATTTTTGCAACGAGATTAATTTTCAATCACAAATTAAAATCAAATCAAAGTAGATATTTTCCTTTAATATTAATTTATTTGTTAATCAAGTCAAATGTTACATCTTCTTGGGTTCCTCTAAATTCTTACATATTTTCGTTATTATTGTTTTCAATTTTTAAAATGATATTTACAAGTATCGTATCTGTTTGTCAATATCATCACATTTGACGTAATTTTATAGATGTTATTGAATATATCATTCGTCTCCTTTGTTGATTGAAATCTTTAAATTCGTTTGAATTTATCCATATTAACGAATCCAAAAAATTACAATAAGACATTTGAGTTGCACTTTGACGATCTTTATTCCGTTGACGTTGGAGTACTTCATCCATTTATTACATTTAACAAAGTCTCTACATCAATCTCCTAATTATTTTAATTTTTAACTTTTCAAAATCCATTGCTGTTTATGTTTACAACTATTGATTTTTCAAAAGAATATATATTTTTAATAAATCTTGTCTCTCTTCATTTATTATGATTCCCCAACGCAGGGGCAAAACCGTAAAACCAAACGATAAGGTGTTTGTTTGAGAGACCGCACCAACTCCTCCACCGATCGGTGGATTCGCCACGTGCGCAAATTGGAGCAGAGGGCAAAGTCGTAATTTCGGACAAATATTCCTCTCTCTCACAGCCCGAAACGTTGAATGTGGATCGAGACACACTGCCGTTTACATAAATAAACACGTTTTTCTTTAACGCGCATTTAGATATTATTTCATTATTATTCTTACCATCGCCCTAATAAAAGTCTCTCGACCAGAAAAAAAGCTTATAAGAAACCCCCCAATTTCTCCCTCGTGACAAACGCAATTTGCAGAGCCACAAAAGCAAAAAAAAGAAAAAACCCTACTTTTCATATTCTCATACAAGAAGAATCTGGAGACCAGAGGAGGTGAAGAAGCAAGGACATCGTCGGTTCGATCTTCTGTTTGTTTTGTGGGAAATCCGTTGTGCTTCAAAGTGGGTTTTTATTCGCTGTCGGTTGACGATGTCGAGTTCCGTGGAGTTGTCGGAGTTCTGTGGTCGGAGGTTGCCGGAGAAGTCGAGCTTCTCGCATAAGTTTAGTCGATTGAGTCGGTATCTGAAGGAGAACGGTACCTTCGGAGATCTGAGTTTGGAGATGACATGCAAACCCGATGTCAACGGTGAGGATTAATCTCCTTGTCTAGCTCTATTTTCCCGTTTCCGGTTTCCTTTCATTTATGCAGATTTCGATTTCCTGTTTGGATGCCGAGAAAATTGCCAGGAAAAAGGAAAAATTTTACTTCTTGGTCTTAGTTTTAAGCTCTGAATTCTGTAGGCCTCTCAAGATTCTGATTCATGTGGTGAACTTAGACAAAACGAAATCTGAGCCTTGTTGATGACATATTTATTGAACTGCAAAATTTCTGATCCCCAAATCAGTAGCTGTCTTTTGAATCTCTGATCATGTGTATGCATGCATGTTTGGAAATGATAAAAACGTGTGAATCTGGATAGTTTTTTCTTGTTGAAACTCACTTTCATACATTAGAAATGTAAGAATAAACCACGTATTAGATTGCAAAGTATGTGATGAAAGCAAGGGCGATATCTTACTGTGCATCGTAATGGCAGGAGGTTCTGTTATGTCACGGCAACCCACCACGATGAATCTGTTCCCGTGTGAAGCTCCGAGCAAGGATTCGGTGGCGGCCCAAGACATCAAAACGAAGAGTTTGTTTCCTCGGCAGCCGAGTTTTTCCTCTTCCTCCTCCTCTGCCCCCAAGGAAGATGTCTGTAAGATCACAGATTCTCAGTAAGTTGTTGTCTGTAACTGGCGGAAGAGTTATCTGATCTGAGAAGTTTACTCTTGTCTCTTGACTAATTATGTGTTTTCTTGAACAGATCTGTGATGCCGGAGTCTCAGACCGCTCAAATGACGATATTCTATGGCGGGCAAGTGATGGTGTTCAATGATTTTTCGGCTGAGAAAGCCAAGGAGGTCATGAAATTGGCGGGCAGCGGCAAGAGCCACATGGGTTTCAAGAATCAAACCGAGACTATGAGCGCCGGTCATCATTGCCCGAATCCAGTCCCTAATACCGGAAATAGCTTAACACAAGAACCATGTCAACCTTTCGCAACCCAAATTGGCTGTGGTAATCTCCCTCGGCCCTTTTTTTTCCGTTCTTGGCTTCGGGCTTTTGGGCACTATTGTAAAGGTCTAACTAACAATGAAGCTATATGTTTGATCCCTTTTACAGAACTTCCAATTGCTAGAAGAGCTTCGCTCCATCGGTTCCTGGAGAAGAGAAAAGATAGGTACGTGCTTCCGTTACCGAAATGATCCGTAACCAAAAACCTACATTCATATTCAGTCGGAAATATATAATAAGAAGGGATCAGCGCTAACCGTGTAATGCGATCGTTACAGGATCACATCAAAGGCACCTTACCAAGTAGGCGGTCCGGACGAACCTTTCGACAAGCCTTCGACCGAAGACAAGCCCTCCTGGCTCAGTTTCGCGGCTCCGAAACCTCGATAATTGTTAAAACTCAAGCGTCAGGCATGAATCTGTCTTAAATCACTCGTTTTGTCTGCTCAATTCATCGCAGAACTCATACATAAGCCTGTCTGTATGTATGTATGTAGTTTCAGTTCTCAGGTCTACATCGTTAGATATGTCTAACCTCTCTTTGGATCTCAATATTAGCTTTTTATGTAACTAAATTTTGAACGAATCGACGCTTTAATTTCATCGCCCATATGTATTTGTCTCGCCTTAATTTCAGGTTTTTTTTTACTGTTTTTTGTGTACGGATTCACAAGTGCATGTCTTAAAACTTCTAATTTTAATAACATTTTCTTCTCCATAGTTTTTTTTTTTTGTCAAATTTCATCAACATTTTGTCAAGTTTTTTTTCCTACTTTTTAAATATGCATTAAATTGTCTGAAATATAATTTCTGCTGATACGTTGATTTTCTTTTTGTTCAGATTAATATTCGGTATTACTACTCGTTGATGCGCCGCGGGCTAATCGGCCATAAAACTTGGATCCACGTTTTGTTAAATTTTGTAATTTTTTTTTAAATTAATTGATTGATGTCGCTTCTATTACAATTAACCATAATGTGGCTTTTGTGGTAGATTTTTGTAAGATCTCCATTACAATTATGCCTTCTCCACTTGGAGGTTTTTGTTGGCCCATGCAAATATATTCTTAAATTAAAGAAAGCAGACTATGGTTTAAAAAATAAACACACTTCATGATGCTCTCATTCCCCCATGCTTTTAGTGAATCCACGCTACTCGCTTTTTCACGGTTCTTGTCCTTCATTTAATCTTTCTTTTCAGTGATATCGTTATCTTTAGAAATATTAAAACATGAAAAAAAAAGAAACATTAAAACATTTAAAAAATAGTAAAAATTGTGATAAACCAAGATATTTCTTTTAAAATAAAAATAATTCGTTTTCCTCGGACATGGTTCACCAAGAGCCAGGCAGATGAGCAAAACGATGAATGCTTTGTTAGTTAACATAACCGTCTGTTATAGAAAACATCTCACAGAAACTTTGCTCCTCTCTGTCACATTCTCATTTACAGTTTACAAAAAAAAAAAAAAAAATTATATAAATTCTTTGTAAGGTTAGACAATAATAATCCCTATGCATGCAGCTTTTTTTTCGCCTTTCTATCGGTTCCGTTTTATCTGTTGAACGATGCGGCGGAAGTGTCGTCGTAGTGTACTTTCCACGCGTTCCCGCTCTCCGTGCCGCTACAAGCTTGGATCGGGACGGGGATGGCCGCAAGGTCGCCGTCCAAACTCATCTGCTGCACTTCCGCAGACGACAGTATCTTTATGTTTTGGACACAGTTCACAAATTCCCTGAAAACGTGCAAAAAGTCGATACGAGAAATGATATTAGACTCTCTTTTGAGGTTTTCATATTGAAAATCGGATAAAAAAACTGCCGTTATTAAGCTCTCGTTTCTTATTTTTCGAATAGGAAACGACTTGATCAGACGGAAAATAACAAACTTACTCCCAAGGATCATCGCCGACGAGCAAGATATCGTTCTCGTGATCTGTGTAGACGAGTTTCCAGTCAGAGGTTTGTGGATCCTCGAGCTGCCCCTCGATCCCAAACATCCGTGCAAGATCATGCCTGAGTTCGTCGTAGCCTCTGTACCTAGTCACGTCTATCGATCTTCCCACCGACCCTCGTTTTTGAACCTTCAAGGGTTAAAGCAAATATTACATTTATAATACAATGTGCCAGGCTCCAAATCTGAATATATGTAGGACCGAATCAAGATAAACATATAGACGATGGCGAAAAAGAACGAACCTTGGTGTATGTCCTCATTCGTTGAGCCTGGTTGGCCCATAAACCCGAATTCAGAATGGCGGAGTCGTTGATGCCAACGTCATTGGAGCACCCGGGTTTCAAGGGAATGTTCGGAATGC